AGAAACTGACGGTCATTGTTATTTATGTTATCTCTTAATTAAAACATTGACATATGTCTGACCTTTGCTCTGGACCTTGAAGTATTACACTAGGTTCCATTTTTCCCTTTTTTAGATAACATTTCTCTCTTTCTTAAAAAACTCTGTTTATAACTTCCCATCTGTGGAAAAAGTACTTTGTAATTCTTCTTCAAAACCAGTTCATCATAGTTCTTGCTCCTGAAGTTACACATTATTTCTCCATCCATTTTTATGCACTCTGACCAGTTTTAGTGAGGCACCTCATCTGTCAGTTGTTTTCCACGACCCTGGTGGCAGGTGAGCTGGCAGGTCATTTAGTGTCCTGACAGGAATCCAGACTGTCTGGAATGCTGCAAATGAAAAAGATACTTTTGGGCAGAAGCCTACGTAACTGACTTGTAATGATTTATTTCTATCTTAAAGCAGCCTGATGGAAGTTGTAAGAGTACAAGCTCAGTACTCTGTGTGTAAGCACTTTAATGAAGCTGCACAGCAGCAATGGGAAAAAGGCATTATTTACAAAATGGTTTGCAAATTTTGGAAGATAATTCTACCACCATAATACAAGAACATGATTTAAACAAACTGGTTCCAGGCTTTGGGCTGAGTGGTACTCTCACTGCTGTCAATAATAGCTGTGAAATCAGAAACATACCTAAAGAATGACGTCGGCAATAGTGAATAATAAAGGTTCTACTGAAAAGGTTAAAAAGTTTTTGTTTCAGATATAATCTCCTTAGGGATTAAAGTGAGGCACGTAGTAATGTACGTAGCTAGTGGTACTGTTTTATGGTGAATATCTGGGACATGCCTAGTTACAAGTCACAGGGGGCCCATACCCATTAGTTTTTTTCTCTGGCTTTAATGCCTGTGGCTAATTCCTACTGAAAGATACACTTAATTTAGGTGGATCTTGTTCCAAAATATTGCCAAACAGTAAATACAGTAGTTTGATGTGTTGCAGTCTTATGTTTTAGGCTATAAAGCTGAATTTGTTTTTATGTAGCCTTTAATCTTACTAAAATAACACCCTCTTTAAATACACAGTTAATTTACTCATTTGAGAAATGAACATAGTTTCATGGAAAGTGAAAGGCCAAACAGTATATGTGCAGGGGAGCAGCATTTGCACACACATACACATGCAAACAAAGCATAGATGTGCACAATTCCACTTTTGGCATATAAACAGGGCTAGCAGGACAGAATGTTGCTCCATGTTCATTATAATGTTAATTTGGAAAGTTAAGTGTGGTTTGTAGTTCATCTTGACTGGAAATGGATGAGATTTTGGGTTGTCCTGACATTTTCTAATAGTCTTTTGGCTTTACTAAAAGTTGTCCTTCTTAACCCCAAAGTGGTTTTGTCCAAATGGAAGCTTAACTTGTTCTGAGGAATGAAGTTATTGATACTATTCATCATTGTGTGTCTTCTTGTGTGGTGAAAACAGCATTAGTAGCTGCCTACATTGCATGATTGGATATATGCCATCTGTAATAGTGTCTGCAATATATTTTCCTCTGTCTTTTGTTGGCACATTGTCTTTAGTTGTTCCACTTGAGGCTACTTTAGTTCCATAGAACCTGTCTAGTCACTTTATAACTGTATCAGATTGGAATGCATCATTAAGCCTGGTCCAAAGAGCCTTGTATATTAATGAATTAATGATGGGATTTTTGTTAAGACCCCAGAAGGGTAGGAGATGTAGCAGTACACCAGCAATAAAGTGTACATAATTTTAGCCCAGTAAGAAAGACTTACAGCAAAATAGTTTATCCATTGCATTCTGGAAATAAGCAATATTATAATACTGAAAAATATGGACCTACCTTGCTCTAAATACATCCATGCTACCTAAGTCATTAGTAGTATTCCTGTGTAACTTTGGCTGATCTCCTGTATGAAAGAATCCATTTACTGTCCATTGCACTAATTCCAGAGGGAGTTTGCATGACATTTGCATAACTTAATACATCTTCCCAAATGTGTTCTGTAACACTAAGGCAATTTCAATGCAATACTATGCTAACTCTTTTTAGCTATCCTAGAATACATTGCTAAGTAAGTATTTATATAAAAACATATTAAGAAATAAATGTTTCTCCCATCTTCTTGCTAACTGAATCTTTTGCTGCACACTGTAGTCCTTTCCACCCTATAAGGCTATGGAAGCAGTGTTTTACATTTCAGTGTTTGAAAAGAAATAGAATCACATCAGCGCTAAGGAAATAATTTTTGCTTTCTCCAAAATCCTCTAGAGATGTAGCAAATAGTGCAAAAATTTGCTTTTCTTAATTAGTTTGTTTTCATGACTTGACAAGTGCAGTAGAAATGATCTACTAGCTCTTTAGATCTACAGAATCTCACAGAGAAAAGAGGCAGACATGGGTTTCTTACATCAAAAGCAGACAGCAGTCTTTTCCACTTGATCTTTTCTTAAAGAGGAACTTTTTAGAACTTGTTTAGGCATTCCAAAGTAAAAGAGTGCAAACCTATTATCTTCAAAAGTTGTATTTAATAAGTAATATCTGTCATGAGATGAAACAGTTTCTGGGTTTTAGAAGCTGATGGGAGGCTTTTAACCCTGAAATGCACATATTTCTGTATCATATATTCCTTGCCTGGATTGGCAAAAAGCCTCTGCAATGCACTTCAATTCATGCAGTTTTGGAAGACAAAGATTGTGATGGGAGTTGACAAACACTGCTCACATGGAATTCATAGGTTGAGGGAAGTGTTTATTCTGTCTTTATTCACACCTCACCACATATTTCCATATGGTTCCACATATTGCTTCTGGCTGTGGAGCCCCTACAAAGGAAAGATGTTGATGAGTGTGAGTGAGCTTAGCATAGGGCCGTGAAGATGATCAAAAAGCTGGAAGATGCAACCTGTGGGGAAGGCTGACTGAGCTGGGCTTGTTCTCTGCACCAGCAGGGTGCAACAATAAAGAGAGTGGTAAAATAGCTGTTTTCATAAGATAGGGTGAAAAACCAGAAATACGGATAATGAGGAAATCTTTGGTCCTTCCAATGCTGGGAACTCCACTTCTGTGCATTGTCGAACAGACATCAGATGGATGGTTGATGGGTTATGGCCAATTCAATTCCTTGTCTGCAAGTTGCTGGGTGAAGAAGGGTAAGGGTAAAGTCAAGCCCATTTTTAACTTTATGGTATTGCTATGCCTGTTTCCCACTAATTGAGATAGATTCCAAACTGAGTGGGGAAACTGAAAGGAAACAACCTCAGGAATCCAAGTTTCCTACAAATAGGCTTTAATTTAGGAAAAAATACCAGGTATATTAGATTATGTTGTTGTGATTCATACACTTTGCAATGTAGTCTTAGAGAAAAGCCATTGTAGACTCAGGCAGCTGCAGCAGTGTTGAGCCAAGTCTGGATTATGGATAATTATAGCTGGTGTCTGTGGAAAAGTTTCCTGAGATTGTTCAGTTTGTCTGTTGTCTCTTGTTGCCTTACCCTTGCATGAGGTATTGACATCTATCCCATGGTGGGATGTAAGGGAGAAAGAGGGAGAGAAAAGTGATTATGTTGTTTTTATAAACTGTTACAGTCTACCTCAGCATCCTGTTTATGAATTTTGCCATTCCGCTGCCTGTTGGTACATGAAAACACCTAGTGCCAAAGCAGTAGGCTGTCTGTGAGCTTCCTGAGCTGATCTGATAATATAATCATGATCACAGTGATTAATCTGTGTAGGTGCAGTATTATGTACTATATATTCAGCATGGACATTACTTTCAACCTTGCCAGTTTCCTCTTCAGAAAGACTTCAAATTACCAGTCTCCTGAATGTAACCAAAAGGATATGAGTGCCCTAGCTTCAAATAAATGGCATACAAATATCTGTTATCTTTCACATTAAATGAATTGATTTTATTAAATATCTCTTTTGTAATTAAGAGGACAGGCTGAGAGAGAAAAAAATGAGATTAATCAAAATTGCTATTCTTATCTACCACTAACAATATGTAGAAGTCATACTGGAAGGTTGAAGAACAGTGGATTTCCTGTGATCATGATACAACTTATTCCACAAAAATAAAAAAGTTTAGGTACTGAAAAATGACCTCCTAGCCTTTAGAACTATAGTAGAATAGACATACTTGGAAATTGTTTCATCATAGAGACCTTTTCCTAATTTGGATTTCCCACTAAATTTTTGCTTATTTTTCTATTAAAGTCTCAGTAGACTCACATTCACAATAAAAGTAATTGAGTTCACATGTGTTATTTTTCATTTTGCTGAGAAAAAAACCTCTAAGTCTTGACCCTGACTTGAAATAAAAACATTATTTTTAGGGCAGTTCAAATATTTTTCTTCTTCCTTTAGAATCAGGTGACTTCAAAAAAGTGAAGAAAAAAAAAAGGGCTATGGAAAAATGCCTTTCTTAGTGCTGCATTTAGGATGTGGTCATGCCCCAGGAGCCCGGAGAGTTGAAGTTATGATGCGCCAGTGCTCAGGGACCCAACTTTTTCACTGTGTTTAAACATTCCTCCTGCTTCAGCTGAAGTTTGCTCAGAAAAATTTTGCAAGAACTCTCCCGAGTAAGATCATTTAAGTATGATTTTGGCCACAGCTATTTACAAGTTCGGGTTTTGACTGAGTGAGTAATTGAATCACGTTGAGCCTCTGAAGTTTGCCTTTTATTTATATATTTCCCCCAGTTGTGTGGCTCGGTCTGCCATTGGCTGCGGTCCCTGCAGCCTACCCGAGGGCTCTGCAGTTACATAAGGCTCTGTCTGCTGGGAGCCTATATAAAGCCTTTTTGCATGCCAGCAAGAGGCAGAATTTTATCAAGATCCAGATCCCACTGCTTTAGTGTGCACGAGCAGGAGGAGATTTTCTTGAAGATACACTGAAACTCGAACCTGGGCTGGTTTGTGTGCCAGCCAGTGCTTCACAGCTGTCAACCTGAGTTGCAAGTGGCAGCTACTGTAAGTAGCTTCTGTGCACTATGAAGAATTTTTCATTTCCTGGGCAGGATAACACACATCGGACCGAGAGTCCTTCTTCTCACAGATTCCCGAGTTTGACAAATCAGTCAGATCCTGTTGGAAGACCAGAAAGAGATGAGCAATTAGCTCAAGCAGAGATTGCTGTACTGGGGGTCATATTTCTGATAGCATCTGTGGGCAATTTTATTCTCATACTGGTGCTGTGGCGAAGAAGAAAGAAGCTCTCTAGGATGTATGTGTTCATGCTTCATCTCAGCATCTCTGACTTAGTGGTAGCCTTTTTTCAAGTGCTGCCTCAACTCATATGGGATATTACAGATGTTTTCATAGGGCCAGATTTCTTGTGCAGAATTATCAAGTATCTGCAATTACTGGGCATGTTTGCCTCCACCTATATGATAGTGGTCATGACAGTGGACAGATATCAAGCAGTTTGCTACCCTATGGTCACCTTCCAAAAGAAGAGAGCTCTCTGGAACATCCCCATTTGCACCAGCTGGTCTATAGCACTGATTCTTAGCCTACCACAGGTATTTATCTTTTCTAAGACTGAAATATCTCCTGGTATCTTTGAATGTTGGGGTGAATTTATTCAACCATGGGGTCCAAGGGCATATGTGACTTGGATTTTTGTAGTTATATTCTTCATTCCTTCAGCCATTCTTATCACATGCCAGGTTAAGATTTGCAGAATAATCAGAAGAAATATATATGTGAAAAAACAGAATGAATATGAAGCAACAAATCAGAAGCGAGTCCTTCCATCCCGAGCGAGCAGTGTGAACTGTATTTCAAAGGCTATGATCAAGACAGTAAAAATGACAGTGGTGACAGTTGTTGCATATGTTCTCTGTTGGTCACCTTTCTTCATTGCACAGCTGTGGTCTGTGTGGTTCCCCAGTGTCATGACTGAAGGTAAGATGCTCTCTGTCCTCACTAATAACAGCATAGCAGGCTAGCACATTGCTATCATTTGCTTTATGTTTGCTCGTTGCTTTTGTGTAAAAGGTACATGTGGTCATTTGAGTATGATTAAAAATAAAATTCCTGGATTTATTATCTCCTGGATTTAATTTGGTACAAGGAGCTTCATGTATTATGTGATCACAACATCATATGTGTATTTTGTGTGTATGTTTCGAGTGATTAACAATTCAAAGATTAATGAACAGCTGAGTGAAAAGTATCATGAGCTCCAGCAAAGGCTCAGAGTTTTAGAGGTTTTAGGTATTATAGCAGCAGTAGTTTGTGTTCTTGAGGTGAAAAGGAGTAATTGACTATTCAAAGTAATAAGGTCAATATATCTTATTTACTGGATAGAACAGTGATGTTATATGTCATCTGATCTTTTTTAATATTGAAATCATATTGATGAAATCCCTGTAGCACACTATGAAACCATCAAAGCTGTGCATCAGCTGTTTATAAAGCAAAAAACCCCAAATAAAGAAGCCTGAGAGAATTATCAAACACCATTTTGTAAACAAGATTAATCTCGTCAAACTTATGCTATTGCCTCTTTGAGAAAGGCAGACTCTATATGTGACTTTAAGTTCATCTATTCTAAACTCAAAAATAAAAAATGGGAAAAAAATTATACTAGCTGTTTGATTTTAAAATATCTTCTGATCTTTGTTTTAAGAATTTTTCCTGTGAGTGTGAATTTGAGTCTTATTCTACATACATTTATAGCAATATCTATGTCTGTACTTATCTATATCTGCATAGCAGCTTAGTAATTGCTTTAAATTTAATGCAGCTACATAAAAAAAGAGCTATATGGAAGCATTTAACTCTGAAATGTATACAATAGAGTGTGCTTCCCACCTTCAGCAATTGCAAATTGGACTGAAATGGAAATTTCCTACTATTTGATTAACTTTAATATATGAATAGGTACAGCAGAAAGCAGCAGACTGTGAAAATGCTACTTAGTTGGACGAGTGCTTTATTAACTCTCTTATTTCTTTAACTATTTCATTCTAGGTTCAGCATTCACCATTATCATGCTCCTGGGCAATTTAAATAGTTGCACCAACCCATGGATTTACATGTATTTCTGTGGCCACATTCCATACTGCACAAATAAGCAGCTGGAGAACACCTCTGCTCAAGAGGAATCAGTGATCACAGGGAGCATTCATCTCATAGACAGAGACCCTGAGGAAAACAATACTTCTGCATAAATGCTGAATGCTTTTTGGTGTTTTGTAGTACCCTAACCCTAACCCTAACCCTTTTGGAACTGTAGTTCCTCTGCCTGCAAGACATTGATATTTTACCACCATCCATTGTTTAGTGGAGAAGGAAGCTGGAAAATTGTCTTTTGTTGTATAAATATATTTCTTTGCAGTTCTATAGCATATACAGGAGGTCTCTGTGTTGTGCAAGCCTGACTCAGTGCTTCCACCTCCACTGTCTTGGCAGAATGAATTCTTGTAAAGACTGACAAACATAGATAAAAATATCTTAGATATTTTGTGTCCTGTAGTATTTCCTCATCTGTGATTATGGATTTCTAAGTAATAAAATTTTACATCTAACTTGTTCTATAAATTGATAGGTAATTGGAAAGCAATCTGAAATAATTAGAGTTGAGTATGTTTTCATGTTGAACTGTGAATTGTTCATCATTCTCATGTGATTCAGGGATTGTTTGACAAGTCTTGAGAAGGCAGCACGAAGTCAGAAAAATCCTTTGCCAGCTCTTATTAATACCTAGTTTAAAATTAACTCCTTATATACACTTATAAAATGCCAAGCAGCTTAATATAATTTAAAAAAAAAAGAATTCAGTGCCTTTGTGCCACTGAACACCTACTTCAGTTTCAAATGGCATCGTGGATCGCAGGTATCAGTATAGCAGCAGTCCAGGTTTTTGGCTTCACACCATGGGATTTGATCTTACATGCATTCTCTGATGTGCAAGCAGTTAACTGGACACTCCCTACATCCCCTTCAGATATACTTTAAATAAAAATGGGTGCTAGAAATGTGCAATTTCATTTGGTATTCAGACCTACCTGTTCTGGCATGCAGTTTATTGGCAGAGTGTGCTTAGAACCCCTTTGGGCTCAAATTCAATTACTTCCCTTTGTGGTAAAAATAAATCTGCATATTTTTATTTCAAAATGCCATTTGGTTGCTGGTTTGTGGATGTTATATGTAGGTAGCTATTTATTCCCTTTCAGTGTCTGCAATCTAGTCAAAGTAGTATGGAAGGAATAACAACAGTGTCTGCAATCTAGTCAAAGTAGTACGGAAGGAATATCAGCAAGGCTTTTTCAGGTGAGTATAGAGCTGTGTTCACAGAGATCTTTGGTGACACTCACATATCATCTGTCTACATTATACTGTGTTTCATCAGTGCTATTCACATTTCAGTTTTCTGAGTGCTAAAAGTCTCAAATACCAGTGGAAAACCTAGAATATTGGGAGGGGTTTAAATAGATTTTTTACAGAGAGGGTTATCAGTCATTGGAATAGGCTGCCCAGGGAGGTGGTGGAGGTGGAGGTTTTCAAGCTGAGACTGGATGTGGCACTTAGTGCCACGGTCTAGTAACCACAGTAGGGTTGGACTCAATGATCTTTGAGGTCTTTTCCAACCTGATTGATTCTATGATTCTATGATTTAAACTAAATACTGATCAGATTGTGAGAAGTGCTGCTGTTACACTTCAGGGTAATTTGTGCTGATATGACTGAATATTCTGTGATTTCTATTCCCTGTATGGTTAGATTAGAGAGGGGTATGAACCAAATATTGCTGTTCTTTATGATAGGAAAGTGTCCCAGTCCAGCTGTGAAGAAGAACATGTGTCCGACAAGTAGGATGAGGAAGAAGATGGATCAAAGTATTACCAGAGCCAGACAGAAATGGGAATAGTCTGTACAAAGTCTCTTATAATAGCAATTGATATTTTCTTGTTGCTCCTCACCCCCCCTTTAATTAATAGTTATTAATTCTACCACATAACAAATTCCCTGTTAGAGCAATTCTGTAACTCAAGTGACAGTGTCCTTATCTGGTGTATCAACATCCAAGATACAACCCATACTATTGATATATTTGTTATATTCAGCCACTCACTGAATTTCTAAGACTTTCAATCAATTAGCTTTCAGTTAGGTCCTCCTTTATGACAACACAATGGTTTATGGTGGGGTTTCTAGTTTTTCTGCTTCTTTCAATTGCAGTTAGTTATGTAGTATAATATGCAATGTTGAAAGGAACTGTAAATAGAAATGCTGCAAGGAATTGCCTGTGTCACTGTACTACTGGATTTGCAGAAAAATACCTCAAAGGCATACAGCTGCAAGGAAAGCAGGTGTTCAAATTGTGTGCAAATAGTCATTCAGATCCAGAACTGATGGGGGTCACAGTTCTGCTCAGACACCACAGTGGAGCTGTGCCATTTAACACCACCTGATCTGGCCCCTGATATTTAAAAAGTATAACTTCTACTACTTGCATTTCTGCATTGCTCATGTATTTGTTACTGGCTCTATAAATAATTTGGTAGAGCTTGATTTCACAAAAAACAGTAGCTCAATATGTTCTATAAAAGGTTGAGAGCAATACTAACTGTCCATGTTTGATCATGTAATGAATGAATGTCAGAACTTCTTAAGTTCAATAATGATTGTTCACTGTGTGTAATGTTGAAAACAAATATATTTTTGTCTCTCAAGTGCTTTCTTTCTGATTATTTTGTTTTCTTTCCCCTGAGATCGGTCAGGTTACTGCACTACAGTGCAAACTACAGTCTGTAGTTACTTTTAGTTTCAGTCTGTCAGAAGGCATTTGAACACAGGTATTCCTGCTTTTTTTCTTAGCAAAGTGAATTGGATTGCATTTTCCAGATGTAACTCATTATTCCCTGTGACTTCTCCTTCCTAACCCATGGGAAGCACTGACAAATACACTCAGTGCAGACTTTGCTTATGGTCCTCAATTTTCTGTCAAAACACACTTTCAAATGATGGGAAACTTATTTTGATAACTTTTTTTTTCCCCTAATAAAGTGTCATTTACAGGACTTTTCTTATTTCTGAAAGAAAAGACATTTAAAAGTATAAAAAAATTTTTCTCTTTGTAAATATGCCCATCGGTTGTCTTGGAAGTTGTAGTTTGAACATCTCATGCCCTTGTTTTCCTCTATGTTTGTTTTCCTCTATGTGTTGATTCTTCATCTACACTATACCTTTTCCAATTCACTGTCACTTAGATTTCCAACTGTTGACTGTGGGATAACACTGTAATCTGGCCAAGGTGTTTAATCCATATGGGAGAATCAGAAACTTGAACATACGAGTCCCTGGAGGCACTGTGGAAACCCATAAAAATGAAAAATCCAATTATCAGATGAAAGCCTTTCTCATCAATGCCTAGATTCTGTTTTCTCACACAAATCATTTCTGAGCAGAAAGAAGCTAGCATACAAGTTCCCACTCCTGAAATGAATGTTTGTGTTGTTGATGCTGGCACTGCAGTTTATGGTTATCTGGGTGGGGATTCTTTATACTTTCCAGGGTTTTGTTACCACTTGGGAAAGGCACAGTTCAGTAAAATGAATTAGATACTTTCTTAAAAATTATTAGTTTATGTTTTGCAGTATAGATAAGGGGAATGAAAGACAATGTAATATATTGATTCTGTATAGATTTATAACAGAAAAAAACCATGAAAACAATCTAGTAGAACAAAAGGAAAATCCCAACATGTTTTGCATTCTTAACAGCATATTTTATTCATTCTGTTATTCTACAGAACTGTTGCTGTATTTTCATAGCCAGTCCCTGTTCACATTCTTGTAAATGATGAATACTGAAGCCAGAGGTGTCACATGATAATCTCTTTAATCTTTCAATTAAATAATGCTGACAAATTTTAAAGATGTTGCCAAATTAATGTCCTGCCAATTTCTCTTTGATTGTTTAATTCTGACAATGGGAACCAGTTATTGGGTCAAATAAATTGCTCCTGTCTCTGTGCTGTTGAGGGAAGACTGGCAGTGTGATGTGGAGACCCAGGTTGGAACCAGCAGAGTTTATTCCGTGAGGCAGACATGGCTGTATTGCCTAGTTCTCAAACACATGGCCAGGACAAATGCATCCTCAAGAGGCTGCAAATACTAGCTATTTTTGGCTTAAGGGTATTGACAGCAGTCAAAGACAGAGAATTATTATCCATCTACTCAGATCTTTCAGTCAAATTCAGTTTTGTTTGGATTCCTCAGAGGTTAAAAAAAATAAAAAAAATAAAGCAAGGCATTTGCTGACTTCATAAGGTAGAGGTTTGATCCTGAATGTCCTGGTTTTCTACAGGAAACATCCATGATTTTGAACCAGATTGTTCATACAGCAGTAAAACAGGACTGCAAACAATACAAATGGGAATTGTATTACTTACTGTAATGTAGTCACAAATAAGTTATTCTCTACTGATGATCCATATATGATGATCCATAGCTGATACATATAGATTTGAATTGAAAGTAAATCATGCTGTTAGAAAATCAGACATAGAACCTGATGTAATTTGTGCTACCACTGCCATTCCAAATCCTTCCTCTGCATTCCTATGTGTGTCAGCACCAAGCCCCTCTATGTTCTCATGGTCCCAGGTAGAGCCTGATGGTTTGCAGTACAGTTTCCAAACTCTACTTGCCCTAATCTCTTGCTTAGATACCCCAGGTTACCTTCACTTTGCCTCTCTGAAACAAAAAGATAGAAGCTGTGTCTTTTCATTGGGCTTATATGATGGGCCTGCTATTGTCACTTGAGTACTTTCTGAAGGTCATCTCATTAAAAGGGCATATTCTGGGCATTTTTACAAGCCAGAATACTTTACACTTCACACTTTCAGGAGCAAAAGGAAGATCAGACTTTGAGTGAAACTTAAGCGGTCACTTAAGTTTCTCCCTTTTACTTCCTTTTCGTCCTTCATTTCACAGCAGACCAAAGCCATGTCTGCCTCACAGAATAAGCTCTGATGGTTCCAAGCTGGGTCTCTTTCACAAAGGGTATTGAAATGTTTCCTACTAGTAAGTCAGAGCAACTCATTATCTAATCTATTCTATCATCCAGCTCCATAATGAATTTTGGAGGTAATGAAACTAACCAAAGGCTTCTCGAATTTCCATCCAAATGTTGTCCTAGAGATACAGTACAAACATATTCAAGT